ACTGCGCATGCTCTACAGAATTTCCAAGCGCAGTCAACTAATCTTTCACGTACTTTATAAAACTGAACAAATGACTTTTCGTTAAAATTTAAAAAACACTGTTGCCCATACTAGTACTAGAATAACTCTAGGACTTTTCTATATTTTCTAATAAAAAGTATATGGAACAGCCTTGTATTTTGTGTCCTATCCAAAATTCAAGCACTTTCAAGGAAGTGTAATAAATACACTTTTAAAAGAGAAAATAATTGAATTTCAAATAAAATAAATCAAATAGAAAATGTAAACATCAAGAAAATTTTAACAATTGATAAAAGGAATGAACTCAATAAAGAAGAAATATCACAAATAAATGCACAATAAAATAATATATTAAAATTCAGAAAATCGATCGTTTTGACTCGAGTCAATCAAATAATTTACAATTATAACTTATGCCCGCGTTATTAATATACATACATTCAAAAAGACATTCACACAACAAGTCAAGTATTTTATACAAATTTAGGACATACATATAAATTATAAATTAAATCACACAGAAAATATATAGTCAAATGAAATTCAGTGCATGACAATACTTTTATAAAACAATAAAGAGAGATTCAACAAAATACTCATCGCTTTCGACAATGATTGGGAAGATCATCAATGGCGTGGGTCGGGAGAAACAGCGTTGTTGATTTCTGTCGCGAAGTTGAGGTCTCTTTGTTATCCTCCTTTACTTTTGATAAGGATTGGCACGATAATTCAGGCTCGTCTCCAATCTTCCTTTTATTTCTCGCAGATACAGCAAATCACCCGTCTAGTTCTCCTTTATAAATCCACACCCTCGCCATGAAATTTATTCCGCCCATAAATTGCAAATAAACGCCACACTACGTGAAATTACAATAAAAAAATTGAACAAAATTTGAGATAAACAAAAAAAAAACCAATGAACAAATAAAATTAAAGAAAACTATAAGAAATACGAATCTTGTTTTTACCTCGAGGTCTCAGGCATTGGACTTCGCGTATGGCGCGGAACCTTCCCTTGAGTTCAATAAGCAAATGAGACAGAGAACTAGAGGGACGATCGCTTCATATCGCGGAAATATTCCCCCCAACTCCACCGATTCTCCGAACCCAAAACGATTTTCCCCGAAGCGCGAACCCAAAGACAAAATTCGTACATTCATGGCATCATTTTCGGTTGCCCATCAACAGGAGAGAACTTCCTCGTAATAAAATACATTTCTAAAAATATAAATTTTCTTACATTGCCCCCCTTGCTTTAGATAAAATCTCATTTTGACGAAAGCACATTATTTTTTTTATCATATAAATTTAAAACTTCAAACCTTCTTACAGATACATTTCTCGAAATTAATATGTAAATACAAGATATATACACTAAATAACACAACAAACAATATACAATCATAATTATTTCAATTAATAAATTACAATTCCTATAATCATTCGTAGTTATATGTATTCACCTATAATTCAAGAATATATATATATCGATATTGTAATACAAGAACTCATGATTTAAACAGTCAGCCTGTTGCATATCTCCATTTACCTATAAGTATTCAATCTCCGACATGTGTTTTATTTATTTCTAATTTTTGTTTGTTTGTTTTTCTTTTTTTTTTTTAAACTTTTCTCTGAAGATATTTCCTTAAATTAGCCTGATTATGTATTCCCATATTTCGATCATTTTTATCATCAAATAACTCATAAGAGTTGTTACCAAGATCTCGCAAAATTCTGTAAGGGCCAAAATATAAATGAAAAAATTTCCGAGTTACTTTTTTTAAAGCATCCGATTGTTTCGGAATATGCAAGAGCACAAGATCTCCCTCATTCAAACTAATTCCGGACGGATTTCTCTGATTCCTTGCGCGATTGTCAAAATTTTTTTTTATATTTTCCCGAGCTAAAAGGATTTTATACTCCTTAGTCATTTCATCGATTCGTGGAAATCTAATAATTTCTTTAATTTGATCAGCGGAATATACTCCAAAATGCAATTCATGTGGGGAAAACCCCGTGCTACAATTAGTCGTGGCATTCATAAAAAACTCGATATCCGAAATATATCGTGCCCATTTTGTGTGTTTATCACTACAAAGAGTGCGGAAAATTCGTCCCAACTCCCTCATCATCCGCTCAACCGGATTGCTTTTCGGATGACGAATTGACGAAAACACGACCTGTATACCCGCCTCACGTAAACTCTCGCCCCACTTATGTGCTGTGAATTGAGTCCCATGGTCCGATAATATCCGTTTGGGAACGCCCATTTCCGGAATATAAAATTTAAAAATTTTATTCAAGATTGTTTTTGTATTTTCTTTTTTTATCGGATATAATTTTATATACTTAGTAAAAGCATCATAAAGAACAAAAATATACTCCATACCAGCAATCGACCGGGGAAGCGGACCATAAAAATCAACGCAAATAAGATCCATTGGGCCTGACGAATATACTCGTCGAAATGCACACTCCATCTGAACATTAATCGGTTTCACTCGCTGACAAAGATCGCATGAAAGGACAAATCTTTTTACCTCCTGATTCATAGATTTCCAGTGGTAATATCGCTTGACGTATTCCAATGTTTTATGCACTCCCGGATGGCCAAGTTTCGAGTGTATACAATCGAGCAATTTTGTTGTTAATTCAGCGGGAATAACAATTTGCCACTCATCCGAAACGCGAGCCCTCCTAAATAAAACCTTATTTTCAATAACATAAAAATCATTACACGCATCATCTTGAATTTTTTTATATAACTCATCTACAAAAGGATCCCGTCGTTGCAAAATTGCTAAATTTTTTAATGAATCACGTAACTCCTGATCGACTTCAATCTTGTGACAATAATAAAAATTGACTTCACTATCTTTTGAGATTTCTAAAACATCTATCGACAAACTACGAGGTGATGATGACTCAAATTGACCCTCAGGATTCCGACTCAGAAAATCCGCAACAATATTGTCTTCCCCTCTAACATGAGAAACCTCAAAATCAAACTGCTGCAAGGCCAAACTCCATCTAATCATGCGAGCATTCAGGTGCGGAGTCGAGTATAAAAAAGTAAGGGCTTTGTGATCGGTAATCACCTCAAACCTGGTTCCAAGTAAATAAATTCGTAGTTTTAAGATCGAATATACAACCGCGAGGAGCTCCTTCTCAGTGGTTGTATAATTCATCTCGGCAACATTCAAACATCTACTGACCAAGGCTATAATTCGATGATATCCATCCCGATCAATTTGATAAAGAACCCCGCTTAAACCCGCGTCTGAAGCATCGGTCTGCAAGCGATAAGGAACACCCGGAATATGATGATTCAATCTAACTGAATTAACAAACGCTTTTTTCATGATTTTAAAAGCCTCTTCATGCTTCTCCCCCCATTCCCATGGACTTTTTTCTTTCAGAATATCACGGAAGGGATATATAAGATTCGCATGTCGCACCGTAAACTGCCTATAGTATGTGCAAACGCCAATAAATTGACGCAGCTCCTTACGATTACGGGGCGATTGAAAATTTAAAATTACCTCTAATTTGTTTTGTGGAGGACGAATTCCTTCAGTCGTTAACTCATATCCCAAAAATTCCACGTTTTTTTTTACAAAATATTGATTTTTTTAAATTTAGGGTGAAATTTTTTTTTTGTAACACTTTAAATACCGAACACATACGATCAATATGATCAGTTATTGAACCCTTTGTCGAAATTAAAAAATCGTCTATATATGTTGTCAAACAATCATCGAATTCATGACCAATCGCGGAATTAAGTGCTCTAATAAATGCCGATCCGGCCGTTTTAATGCCGAACGGTACTCGACAAAAATGATACAATTTCGAGTCGAAAAGAAATGCGGTATATTTTCTCGAATCCTTATCAAGGGGGATTTGCCAGTAGCCTGAGGCTAAATCGGTCATTGACATGAAAGTAACACCATGGAATTTCTGCATCACCTCAGAAATAAGGGGTGGGACCTCATGGTCCGATTCTATAATTTCATTGATATACCGTGCGTCCAAACACACACGTATTGTACCATCACTCTTCACTACGATCCTAAGAGGGCTACAATAATCGCTATCAGACTCCTCAATTATCATCGCATCTTTCATTTCTCGTAACGTGATTCTAGTTCGCTCGCGGAATGTCATGGGAACTGGGTATGATTTTCTAATAAATTTTTTATGTGGTTTGATTTTTAATTGATACGGCGGTGTATCAGCGACCCCAATTTTAGACGTAAACAAATTCTCAAATTCCGATAGTCGCTTAATAACAAATTCGCGTTCCCGATGCTTAATATCTTTTATTTCCGCCGCAATCCTTTCCACTTCACTAAAAAACAAAGAATTATCCTGATTCTTAACATCCATAGAGTTAATTCTCTTTAATTCATTAATAACATGTGTATCGTCATTATTATTAACTTCGTCTTCAAATATTATTTCACAAAAACCGGAATTATTTTCAATGTCATTTTCAACTAAATAATATTCGTTCATATTTTTGTAATTTTCATTTCGAGCTTGACACGTCATGAATTCTAAATCATCGGTATGAGAGAAATCAGCTGTTATTTCCTTTGCGACCTTCACATCAACACATGATTTCTCCCCCCTTACGTCATTCTCAAATTCTACATTACTTTTAAAATCATCAAATTCGCGAAAATTAATCATCTTACAATCATTATTCATATCACTTCCCCCTTCTTCGCGAATGTTAGTATTATTTTTTACGTTTAAACCTTGTACAATTTGAATCACCTCCCCTCCTTCTTGAATAACACCTTTATTATTTGTCAAACTCCCAAATGATACCAGCGAAGAACGAACAATATTTCCGTCAATAATCATAAGTCCCCTTTCATAATCTATTATCACTTTATTCTTTAAAAGCCAGTCATTACCTAAAATAACGGAAGTAGATAAATTGGGAACAATTAAAAAAAATGACTCACATTCGAAATCTCCAATCGTCAATTTGCACATTATTTGCTTCTTAATGGGAGTTGATTTCTTCCCAATGGCTGTAAAAAGAACAACACTCGAAACAGGCAGTTCAAGCACTTGATAATATTTTTTTAAATAATTATAAAACTCCTCTGACACCGCCGTAATCTGACTTCCCGTATCAATTAATGATGAAGCCGGCACTGACTGCATTGCAACAATAATACGCGGGCAAGATGGACTGCACGTAGATTCGTCACATCGTTTTTCTAAATTATTCGCGACATCATCGATAACTTGATTAAATTCATCATATAAATGCCGACTTGAAAATATTGTTGAATGGCTCGCGCCTTTCGAAATTGCTAACTGATTCATAGAGTTAAAGTCTTTGATGTTTTTCACAGATGAGGAAAAGGGCGGAGGGGGCCGACTGGTATCGGGTAGGGGAACACGTGGTTCAGAAGACCGGGAGTGACCATTAATATTTGGATTTTCGGCGTGAAAACTATTTGCCTGTATATACGAATTCGTTACAAGCGAAGGCCTTGATGATTGCGACTGTTGTTGATTTCGCTTATCATTATTTTTATTTTCATTATACGCGTTGGAAACCGAATTTCGAGACTTGACATTATAATGACTTGTTTTCTCTTGAAAAGCGAAATCCAATTGAGCAAGACACTGTGATATTTTATCATAATCTTTAAAATCGATGGTAGAAACAATTTCCCGCACTCTCATAGGTAATTGCTGAATAATCATAAAATGTAATTCGTAGGGCTCATATTGCGGAGTAAAAAATTGAGCTTCTTTAATTTGACGCATAAAATAAGTTTGCAAATTATCAGATGAGTTATCAAATCGACGCGCCAACCATTCCGCCCGTAATTTAACACGGATCGGAATCGAAAAGAACTCCGCCAGAAATTTTGTTTTAAAATCCGCATAATTAATTAAAGTACTCCGCTGCGATTCGAACCAGGCGCGTGCCCGGCCATCGAAGCACCCATCTATCAAACTTAACCGATTCCCTTGCAAATTCTTTAACACAAAATATTTTTCTAATTTTTCAATAAAATGATTCGGATTTTCCGGCTCACAAAATCTCGGAATCTTGGTCTCAACATTTAATCCCCTTAATCCGTCAATAAGAGTTCGCACCAGCTGACTGCCCACATCACTTGAACTTTCATGGATACGATTTTGCAATTGCGTTAATTGAATATTTTGAGCAGAATTTATTGTACGCAATCGATCAATTTCAGCTCGCAATTCGTCAATAACAATGTCATTATTATTTCCTAAATTTCCAACATTATTTACAAATTCACCCGGAGGTTGCGACATTGTTCGTTTGTTTTCGCGATTATTTTTACGACGTTCGAAAGTTAAACCCTCCAATAAAATTCCCGGACGAGATCGAGTTTCTCTCCCCAGAATACGTTTCATAAAAAAAATACAATATTTCACAAAATTTATACAAAACAAAATTAATAAATCTCAATCATTCAAAATTTTGGGCACTCATTCATGTCCCTGTTCGGGCGCCATTTATGTAATAAATACACTTTTAAAAGAGAAAATAATTGAATTTCAAATAAAATAAATCAAATAGAAAATGTAAACATCAAGAAAATTTTAACAATTGATAAAAGGAATGAACTCAATAAAGAAGAAATATCACAAATAAATGCACAATAAAATAATATATTAAAATTCAGAAAATCGATCGTTTTGACTCGAGTCAATCAAATAATTTACAATTATAACTTATGCCCGCGTTATTAATATACATACATTCAAAAAGACATTCACACAACAAGTCAAGTATTTTATACAAATTTAGGACATACATATAAATTATAAATTAAATCACACAGAAAATATATAGTCAAATGAAATTCAGTGCATGACAATACTTTTATAAAACAATAAAGAGAGATTCAACAAAATACTCATCGCTTTCGACAATGATTGGGAAGATCATCAATGGCGTGGGTCGGGAGAAACAGCGTTGTTGATTTCTGTCGCGAAGTTGAGGTCTCTTTGTTATCCTCCTTTACTTTTGATAAGGATTGGCACGATAATTCAGGCTCGTCTCCAATCTTCCTTTTATTTCTCGCAGATACAGCAAATCACCCGTCTAGTTCTCCTTTATAAATCCACACCCTCGCCATGAAATTTATTCCGCCCATAAATTGCAAATAAACGCCACACTACGTGAAATTACAATAAAAAAATTGAACAAAATTTGAGATAAACAAAAAAAAAAACCAATGAACAAAATAAAATTAAAGAAAACTATAAGAAATACGAATCTTGTTTTTACCTCGAGGTCTCAGGCATTGGACTTCGCGTATGGCGCGGAACCTTCCCTTGAGTTCAATAAGCAAATGAGACAGAGAACTAGAGGGACGATCGCTTCATATCGCGGAAATATTCCCCCCAACTCCACCGATTCTCCGAACCCAAAACGATTTTCCCCGAAGCGCGAACCCAAAGACAAAATTCGTACATTCATGGCATCATTTTCGGTTGCCCATCAACAGGAGAGAACTTCCTCGTAATAAAATACATTTCTAAAAATATAAATTTTCTTACAGAAGGATTCACGTACTTTTTTTTCCGTGTATAGAGGTTTTTGGGGTCGCTGATTACGAATCTGAAGTCAGATTTCAAAAATTCAAAATGGCGGATCCAATATGGCGGACATAAAAATTTTAAAATTAATAAATTTGAATTAAACATAGGTATCTATGGGTTTTTTGGGTCGCTGATTACAAATCTGATGTCATATTTCAAAAATTCAAAATTAGGAATCCAAAATGGCGGACATACAATTTTTAAAATTAATCGATTTTTATGAATCTTTGTATCTAGGGGTTTTTTTAGGTCGCTGATTACGAATCTGATGTAAGAATTCAAGTGGATTTTAGATTGGGTGAGATTTGCCTACAATTTTTTGCTTGGGAGTTTTTAAGTTTGGTGATTACAAAACTAGTGTCTATACAATTCAAAAATAAAAATTTTTTTCCTGTTATTAGCCTACAAAAATAAAAAGTACTGTAGTTTCCAGGATCTACCACGAGGAGGTTACAGGTAAAGATCCCATTTTGTATTTTTTTAGATTTTTAAAATTTTTTTGGTTTTTTTGGACCTGATGTTTACTTATAGGTATATAGTTTATCGCGTGGGTATATCAGGTGCGCATGTAGTCCTATTGGAGAATCTGCTTTTGTTTCCATGGATCGGATAAACACTCCATTTCATATCTAAATCTGATTTCAGAAACAAAGTGCTCATTTTTACATTTTTAAAATCTGACAACAGATTTGTAATCAGCAACCCGAAAAACCTCTATACACGGAAAAAAAAAGTACGTGAATCCTTCCTTGAAAGTGCTTGAATTTTGGATAGGACACAAAATACAAGGCTGTTCCATATACTTTTTATTAGAAAATATAGAAAAGTCCTAGAATTATTCTAGTACTAGTATGGGCAACAGTGTTTTTTAAATTTTAACGAAAAGTCATTTGTTCAGTTTTATAAAGTACGTGAAAGATTAGTTGACTGCGCTTGAAAATTCTGTAGAGCATGCGCAGTGTGCGTTGCGCGTTTTTACCCAAGGTAAATGCCAGCTGATCGTCTGTTTCCGTTTGTGTTAATTTCAGATGTGAATATACATATTATATATATATATAATAATAATAATAATAATATTATATATTATTATTATATATATATATTTTTTTTTATTTTTCACGACTTCTGAGACATGCTATTTCACTGAAAACTGAGACTTACATAACATTCTGTTTTGTGAGAAACACAAAATAAAAAATATTTTTTTGAAAGTCAATTCTTGAAGACAAATATATATTAACACTATTTGTTTTTCATAAAATAATAGTATATTCACATCTGAAATTAACACAAACGGAAACAGACGATCAGCTGGCATTTACCTTGGGTAAAAACGCGCAACGCACACTGCGCATGCTCTACAGAATTTTCAAGCGCAGTCAACTAATCTTTCACGTACTTTATAAAACTGAACAAATGACTTTTCGTTAAAACTTAAAAAACACTGTTGCCCATACTAGTACTAGAATAATTCTAGGACTTTTCTATATTTTCTAATAAAAAGTATATGGAACAGCCTTGTATTTTGTGTCCTATCCAAAATTCAAGCACTTTCAAGGAAGGATTCACGTACTTTTTTTTTCCGTGTGTAAGATGGAAAAATGGTATCTTACATCTTAAAATAAGATGTTTTCTAAAGTATCTTACTGATTTTTAAGATGTTTTATACGTCTTAGATATTTCTTCTGTCTTAAAAAAGTAAGATACTTCTATAAGTTTTTTAAAGTATCTTAAATTAAGATGTTTCTGTCTCAATAAGATGTTTAGCGATAAGATTCTTTAAACATCTTAAATTAAGATATTTCAAATAACTTAAAAAAGACTACCAAAACATCTTAAAAAAGATACAGAAAAAAAATAAAATAATAAAAAAATAAAATAATAATAAAATAATAATAATAATAATAATAATAATAATAATAATAATTATAATAATAATAATAATAAAATAATAATAAGATGCAGTGTATGCAAAAAACCTATAGATACCTATGTTTAATTCAAATTTATTGATTTTAAAATTTTTATGTCCGCCATATTGGATCCGGCATTTTAAATTTTTGAAATCTGACACCAGATTCGTAATCAGCGACACAAAAAACCATTAAATACCACTGTTCATCATAATTGATTAATTTTGAAAATTGTCTTTATATATTTATTGCATATATTTATATGTTTATTGCAATATTCTTGTTATGTTGAAAAAATATGAAAAGGCGCAAAATGGCACATATTGGCGTCAAAGTAGACATGCTAAGTAATCGTTCTATAACTTGTTTTTCCAAATATTATGCGGCTCGGAGGAGCTCGACTAACTGAAAGTCGGCACTCTATTAAAAAATCCACTATTTGTTAACTTCAATGGAGCTACATTTTAATAAATTTTATTTTTTTAAAGTAACTATTGGTTTTTTACTTCAATATATCTATTGATGAGAAAAAATAAGTACTTATACAAAAATAATTAATTTATTTCTAGATATATTAAGTATTTCAATCAAAAACATTTTATTATTTTATCTCAAATGTTAAACTTTAAATAGTTCCAGAAGACACAATTTTTTATTATTTAACATATCCTTTATGCAATAAATTCCTTATTTACTATTGAATACTGTGGATAAATTCTTTTGTGCATATTTGAAAGTTGAAAAATTGTATTTTTGGCCAAAATTTGACGATCCTGGCCCACTGTGCCTAGTCACTATTCGGTAGAATGCCCGTTCACATTCGGTTGGCAGGCGGTTCCCAGCCAGTACAGTTACACCGGCGTCAGTACGGGCTAGGATCCGCGCCGGTTGGAAATTTCCGCCTGGGTTTTTTTTACTTGTAGGTATAAAGAAGGACCTATAAGGGCACCATGAGACCATAATCATGTCCGTAAAGTAAAATTCTCTTTTAGTGCTCTCTTTTAATATCTCCTTTTATAATTTACACTAACTTATTACTATACATTTATATTAAGAGAACATGATTTGAAAAAAAATTAAAATAAATATAAAAAATAGTTAGGGGGTTGGCGCGCAGGGAGGCGAAGCCCCCTAGTATATATATATATATATGGCAAAATTTCTCAAGTGTACCAATGTCAAAATTGCAAGCTGTTGTATCGGGCTAATATTTTCACAGTATTTAGTACTATGTATGAGTACTTCAACCACCAAGTATTATGAAATTTTATAACAAATTGTAGAGGGAGAAGGGGGTTGAAGATTTTGGATAAGTATGAACAGTGAGTTTTCTAAAAAATCGTAGCTTCTATATAATAAAGCAAAAAAAATTTTGACCTATATGTTTTTGGTAGGTTTTTTTTACGTTCTTTCAAATGGTGAAAGTTTTTTTTTAAATTTTCAAAATTTAACCCTTTTTTTAAAATTAAAAATTTTTTTGATTTTTTTTTCAAGAAGGACTCTTTTTTTTTTCTTTTTTTTGTACCAAAAGAAAGCTTAAGATGTGTACTTTCAATAACTAAAACGAAAAAAATGACGTTTTTTTTTGTTTTCAAATTATTAATTAATTAATTAATAAAAATTAATAAAAATTGAAATATTTTACAACAAAATAAAGTTAACGCAATTCTGAAGTTACTTCTGTAAAGCACTACAAAATCCGCATCCAACGAGTCCAATATGAAATATTTTGGATAAATTGACGTTTTATAAATAAATATTTATAAAAATTAATTAACAAATGAATATCATTTATAAAAATAAAGATAAAGTGTTAGTTTTTTTTAACACAAATGTTTATACAATTCTACTTTTAAAAAAATGTATTCCAGTTATTTGCAACAATTGTTTAAATAAAATATTCATCACCTTATGCGTGTGTTGCGCTGCATAACTATCTTCCCGGCTTAATATTATTTCACATTTTTTATAGAATATTTTTTTATTTTTTACATTTTTGATGTAAGAAAAGATTATTTCTTTTTTACATCAATAATTTTTTATTATTTTAATATTATTTATTATTATTAAATTATTTTGTAATTACCCGTGTGGAAAAGTGGTGTTGGCCCACGCCGGGGGCCCGCATGGATCGCCCACATCCATGAGGGGCCCACGTGGGTGATCCAGGCGAGGCCCCTCATAGAAACGACATGCTGATCGATGAGGGCGCCCGCATGGGCGATCCACGCCGGCGCCCTTGTCGGCCCCTTGCGTGGCCCTCGCGTTTGCCCTCATCTTTGCCCTCGACTTACCCTCGACTTTATTTTTCAAAATTAAGTTAATAAATTAATTATTTATTAATAATAAACAAGTTCAACTATTAATAAATAACACTGTTATTTAACGATTTTTACTTTCATTAATTAAATCGTGACCAAAAAAAAAAAAAAATCTGACGCACTCAGGAATAGAACCTACGACCTACGGACTATCAGACAAACGCTTTACCACTGTGCTAAGGGACTTACTTGAAATTTATTTCTTTATAGTAGGTGACTAGCTGACTTGCTTTTGATGATTCAATAAAACATTATTGACACTAATACACCATAACAAAAAACGTGTTTTTCATTGTTTAAAATCATTATAAACATTAATTTTTGTTATGTAAAAAATTTTTTTTGTTTGGACTTGGAAATTTTTGCAAGTCAATGATGTGGGTGATCCATGCAGGCCCCTCGCGTGGGCCCTCAAGGATTTGCCCTCATGTGAGTTTTATATTTTTTAAAAAGTAACATTAAATATTTGTTAAAAACGTGTTTTTCATTGTTTAAAATCATTATAAACATTAATTTTTTGTTGTAAAAAAATTGTTTTTTTGGACTTAGAAATTTTTGCTGGTAAATGATGTGGGCGATCCATGCGGGCCCCTCGCGTGGGCCCTCAAGGATTTGCCCTCATGTAAGTTCAATATTTTCAAAAAAATGTAAATAATTTTATGTGAAATATGTGTTTTTCATTGTTTATAATCATTCTAAACATTAATT